CCCCAAACCTCCCCTCCCCCTTCCCTTTCAACAATCAAATCCAAATTCTTAGTCAACAAATCAAAGTCTGTACAAATAAAATCACCCCCACTTTAGACGAAGCCTCATCCACCATATCATTTGTCATGGATCAATCTCAATCTTAAGAGAATTCGTTATCTCTAACGCCTAAGATCCATTATCTGCCACCCACCAAGATTAAGTCTCATCCACCATAGCATCATCACCGGAGAAGAAAAAAGATCGAGAAAGTAGAAATCAACGGATGGTCCACCTCAACCCACCCTCCTACATCCATTCTATTTCCATTTTTCCTTCTACCTGAAACCAAGTCACCGGACTACCTCCGATCTATTCAACTCCAACCACCATCGTAGATTTGTCATCGCTAGCTACCAACCACCATCGATGCACCAATATCCTAGTCGCCTCTCTATTTTCCGGCGAGAGGGTAGCAGATCTGAATAAGGTCAACCGGTGTGGATTGTACTTTGTTTTCTGTTTTAGAGGGTGAATGTATGAAGAGGTGGCATTCAGGTGGTAATGGTAGTGGTTTGAAGTTTTACAGTCAATGTTTGAAATGATGGCGGGTGGGTTTTCTTGTGTAAACTGTTGAGGGTGATGATGTTGTTGGTTACGCGATTAATGGAGGTTTACGAGTAGTTGTCAGGTGGTGTTTATAGGATGGCGATGATGAAGAAGGTGGTGGTGGTTTGTGGCTATTTTTCGGGAAATAGGTGGCATAAGGATAAGGGGTATGGTTACACCCAACCCATTCAAAAAGCGATGTCACATCAGCATCATGTCAGCTCCACTACAAACCCACTACCAAACCACTAGCCCTTGGAAATGGTAATGATCATATCATGGCGTTGTTCTTGAATTTCTGGTTGTTTTTGTTCTTTGTCGGAGCATTCTTCTAGCAAACTTTCCAGCTCCTCCAATTTTCTTTCTGGATGAAATTTCTCCTCTTTTATCTCTAGCTCCTGTATCTCGGCTTGTTCTGGTTCGTCTAGCAAGACAAAGTCTAACCATCTTCCAAACTTCCTCAAATCTTCGTCTTAGTCATAACCATCATTTTATCGCTCTAATTCCTGTTCCACTTCCTTAAGAATAGCATCAAAAGCATCGAGATTTGGAAACTACATAAAAAAAAGAACAAAAAACAAAATAAATAAAAACAAAAAAATACTAAACACGTCGTGAGAACAGTAAATCAGAAAAATTAATTTTTGTAGAAAATTAACTTTTTGCGGTTTTTACCCCACAAAAAGGATCGATTAAACTAAAGCAATTAAATTAACAACTGAAATAGTCGTTCCCCGGCAACGCCGCCAAAAACTTGATGTGTGCAAAAGATATCACCTATCTAGCTTTAAATTTATAACCTAACTACTTATCTACTAATGCACATATAGCCAGTGTACCTAATCAGTATATAGTATAGTAAAGTAAGTTGGGTGTCGAACACAGGGAACGGATTTAGTATACTAACCTAATTACTAAAAATTAATATAAAATCAAATAATAATTAAAAATGGTTTTTATCTGATTTTGCAAGTTCAGACAAACTTAAACACTCAACAAAAACGGTTGTAATCAATATATTAAAAACACTTTCATTTAGTTTCGAATTCACCTTTTTCCTATGGTTAACTCTTATTTATGGATTAATAAATTTGGTTACCAATTTATATGTAACTAGCAATTTGGTCAAATCTACTAATATTTTTACCAATTGATAAACTACTATGTAAGGGCTTACATTAGCAAACACAGAATTAGTTATTAATGATAATTGGGCTATGTAAGATATATCTAGATAATGATCTATGGTCAAGACAATTAATCAAACACAATTATGGTCACAATTATGTTCTCTGACACAGCTAAAAAGTATACATTTATTACTTAACTAAGATTTGGTTGATCTTAGCTCTAGCAATCTAATGGTCACTAAATTACTAGGTAGACAAGTTCATGTAGTTTAATGGTCGTTAATCTACACTTAACTTGAATTAAAGCAACAAAGATGCAAACTTTAACATGCTAGGTATGATAATCAAACACAAGCTCCAAACCAACTTTTATAAATCCATGAAATAAATAGCTAAAGCATAGTATTAGGTTTCATCTAGCTAAACGAAAGCCTACTAAATTAGCTACTTATGACTGAAAGTAAACACACAAGTTCATAAGAAAGTGATATGATTAAATTAACACAAACCTAATGTGATGTGTAGTCTTCAAATCTTCAAACTCAAATGATCTCTCCTTCCAATAAAAAATTTTCGCAATTTTCTGACTTCCAAACTCGATTATAACTCCAGGAAATCAGATCCAACCTCCCCAAAGTCGATATGCTAATGGATATTTATAGTTTCCAAAAATCGTTTCTCACGTCGTGAGAAATAGGGTCTCACGTTGTGAGATCAGTAGAATTCGTGTTCGGCAAGGAAACTACATTCCGCGTAGCTATCTTCTAGAAGAATCAATCTCACGTCGTGAGATTATACTTCTCACGTCGTGAGAACTGGAAATTAGCATTTGGCACAAAAATAAAAGTCGTTCAAAATTTTGTCTACTTTTCAGATCATTTTGAATCTCGTTAATCGGAGTTACGAGTCATGAGATATTGTTAAAATACTGACGAGGGGTCAAACTGTCCAACGACATCCTTTGAGTATCTTTTTCATCTCCAGTCGTCCAAGTATCCAACTTTTGTAGGTTTCAATCCTTTTCTTCGAGAATATCCACTTTTGGCTGAAAAAATACAATTTGAACATTATAAGTACCAGATATCTTTGCAATTAACAAAATTATAGCTTAAAATGTATTAAAATACTGCCTAAAAATGTGTATAATTATTTCACTATCACCATTAAACTTTGTGCAAGCCGCTCGTAGATCACGCCATTTCCCGTTGACCGCGTTGTACGATCGATCCGTTTGCCTTCCTAGTAGCGTGTGAAAGTGATCCAAAACACGATTCCAAAAACTTTCCTCGGATTGTGTGTTGCCTCTTCTCGAGTCACACGATATGAAAATCCAAGCTTTCGCTAAAGCTTCCTCCTCTTCTTCGTTCCAATCCATTGCTTTTTCTTTCTTTTGCTTTTAGTTGCCTTCTTCGAAATGGTTGTGGTGTTTCTTGGACCCGTTCGTCGTCGCTGTCGAGGTTTACAGTTTGGGATTGAGATAATGGGACTTGAGATGATTGCGTTTGGAATTGTTGTGGTTGAAATTGTTGAGAATGTGGTTGTTGAAAAACCTTGGAATTGGGGTTGAATGAATTGGGGTTGTGGTCGTTGTTGTTGGAAGAATTGTAGGTTGTATGGAAGGTTAGTGAATAAAGGTTGTTGTTGGATTGGAGAGTTCAACAATTGCATGTATGTTTGATAATCATTTGGAGTGTTTGGGGTGGTTAAAGTGTTGGAGTGGGTGAGGTATTTTGGTTTGGGTCCATTTTTGAAGAAAAGATAAAGAAAGTAGAATAAATTTTTTGTTTAAGAAGTGTAAAATGAAGGTAAAATGTGTAGTATATATAGGTAAAAGATGTAAGATGTTATTTAAATTTAAAAGTTTAATAAAACTTATTTTAATTTTAAAAGTTGATTATACGGTCGTTGCTTTCTCTCTCCTCACCCGATTCGCTGTCTTCGTCCGTGGATGGGACTACGCTACAAGCTACCTATCTCTATTTATTATAATCCTAGCAAACCTAGATGAATTTCCTGTTTTACCACTTATTGGGCCTTCTAGATGCGACTTTTGCTTTAATAGTATTTGAGCCAATTAATTATGGATTCCTATCAGCTACCTACGCGCACCTGGGGTGATGTTCACGTGTAGGTTGGCATGCCATGTCAGCTCCTACGCGTCCTTTTCCCTACCATAACGGATGGTCTAAGGACAAGGTGATACAAAGGAGAGGTTTGTGCAGATTATCGGTGATGGTCAAGTATTCTTCAACAAAAGCGAAAAAGTGTGTGTATGTGTGTGATATATATATATATATATATATATATATATATATATATATATATATATATATATATATATATATATATATTAGGTGGACCCATAATTTTTATTAAAATATATTTTTTAATAGTTATAAATAATCTGAAATGTCAAAAATAAATGAAAAAAAATTACAAAGAGTACTCTAGTTATTTTGTCTCACAAGGGATGAAGCAACTAACAAGGGATGAAGCGTGCATCTTTTTATATCTCGATATAAGAGACGATCCGAATTATTTTTTGAAAATAGAGACCAAACGTGTATTTTGACACTTGCACAAGGGATGATTTGTGTAATTTACTCTATGTTTTAAAACATAAATATATTTTAAAATGTTATACTTCTAGAATATTATAATTCTAAAAGATCGAAATTATTCTGTCCATTTAATTTTCGAAAAGATAACATTCTTTGTTTCCTATATTTACTGGATTTTCCAAGAAACAACTCTATCCCACGTTACCATCCATCTACTTTATTCCAACAAATAACCTTTCTTTTAACACAACCTCAACGTGTGAAGGAAGAAAGTAGTAACAATAAGAAAGCAATAATAAGAATGCTAAACTACTGACACTGTAAACAAGGCAGTGATGTAGAAGTTTATGATGGTGTTTTACTTAAATTAATAATATCAAGAAAAAAAAAACATTATGAAAAAAGAATTATATAATATTATAGCAAATGGGTATATCACTAATGTACAACAAAAGAAGCAAATAATGTTACAAAACTTTCTTTAGAACTGTGAAATGAAGGCTCGTATTACAAACAAATAATGTCCAATTCTATTCATTGGATCTTTATGATTACCAAGACAAAGTAGGTGGGCTTCCTTGTTATATGAACATGGAGTTAGAGAAAGATTCTTCAGCTACATACAAGAAATAGCAACGTACTTTCTATTTTCATTTTCTCCAATTATTGTAGGATGCTATAAAAGAAAAAACTGATGAAAGTACATTGCTATTTATGGAATTTAACCGAAGATTCTGACAACAGATGGATTGAGGAAGAAAGAATTAAGAAAGAATTATGTTGAAGATGAAAGAAAAGGGAAGTATTTGAGTATTTGGTTGGTAGTGTAGTACCCTTTATGGTCATTTTCATTTCCCTTCCATTGCCTCTCTCTTTTCATGGCAGCTTAAGCAAAGGAAAGGACCATCCCAAGGCCTTGCTTTATTGAAATTACATGTCCCTGAATGGACTGAAATACCCTCCCCTGGTTTCATCTGTTTCTGACACACAGCACAATTGAACAACTTGAACAGGTTACAAAGCGGATATTTGGTATCCAACCTGCAACCAAATCGGATATATGATATCAGTTGTTAGAATACAGAACCTGAGGGCATTATAGTAATTTTGATATTTAGTATCTAACCTTTCTGAAAGAAAAGCAGATCCTTCCTCTAACATCTCCTCCAACACATCTGCTTGAAGTAAACCTACATCAACTTGAGGGGGTGACCCTGAACTCTTTCTCCTAAACATTGACTTTAATACCCTTTTACCAGTTCTCTTTGCATGTGGGACATGAGAGTGTGTCTTTTCTGGAGGTAGAATGTCAACAACAATGCAAGTTGTATCATCGCGTAATCCTTTAAACTGTACAGCTTCCTATACACACAAATAAAATTAAGAAATAATTAAATATTGATATTTTCTTTTAATTCCGTAATAAAAAAAATAATAATAATGTGTTTGTAATCATACTTTTACAATTTGGGCGGCGGCTGTATCTGGCGGCAGTCCACGACAGCATACTAGAGCTGCTTCTGCTGACATGGCATCCCAGACACCATCACTGGCAATAATCATCCTTCCACCAGCTGAGGATAGCTGCAGGTTACAAATTATAATAATTATAGACTATAATGCTATGTTTGGCAGACTAGCTGGTAGCTGAAAAGTTAGCTGACAAAAACTGGCGTTTGGTAAATAATATGTTTTTTATAATTGATTAAGGGTATATTCGGAAAATCTTTAAAAAACTCCTGAAAAGCTACTCTAAGGTTATGTTTGGCGTACTAGCTGAAAAGCTAGCTGATAAAAAATAACGTTTGGTAAAACTAGCTGAAAGATATAAAATGACATAAAAGGGCATTTTAAAAGAATGTGTTTCCATAATTAATTAAGGGGTATATTTGGAAAATTTAAAATAACTCCTAAAAAGCTAGTCTAAGTAGCTTTAGGTTGTGGTTGGCGCGCCACAGCTAGCTGATAAGCTAGCTTATTTTTCGAGCTTTTTTATGTTGTCGTGTTTGGTAAGCCAAAAAGTGGCTTATAAGCTAGCTTTTTGAAAAGCTACTTAGACAAGCTTTTTAGGAGCTTTTTTTAAAATTTTCCAAATATACCCCTTAATTAATTATAGAAACACATACTCTTACATGTCCTTTTATGTAATTTTATATATTTCAGCTAGCTTTTCAGCTAGTTTTACCAAACGTTATTTTTTATCAGCTATCAGCTAGCTTTTTATTTAACAGCTATCTTTTCAGCTACCAGCTAGCTTTTCAGCTTGTACGCCAAACATAGCCTTATAAAAAACTAACTTATCAGCTACTTTTTGGCTTGTCAAACTTGACAATTTAAAAAAGCTCAAAATATAAGCTAGTTGTGGCGCGTCAAGCACAGCCTAAGGGTAGGTGGAAGGAAGTCAATTTCATTCTTCCTTTTTTTAAAAGACTAAAATACCCTTATAATAAATAAATACATGGAAATAAATAAAAATAGAAAATTTATTTAAAAGTGAAAATTTCAAAGCTATTTAGTTTTTGTTATTGAATTTCATTTGGATTTCTGCAACAAAACACGTGACATGTTATGATTCCTTCAGATTCCGATTCCAATTCCAATTCCCTCAGATTCCAATTCTTTTGATGGATTCCATTCCTTCAAAAATACAACTGACCTTCACTTGTTTAACATAAGGAACAGGAACAATGAATTCCCCAACATCCAGATCTCCAATTGATCTTGACAAACACAACCCACCAGGCCAACATCTCAAAGGACCAATCTACAAAAAAATAAGTTTAAATAAGTTATATTTTTATTTAAATATAAAAACTAAATAAACCCATTTTTCAATAACTTCAAATATAAAAACTAGATACAACATACCTGTGCACCACCACCTGCATTCAGCCGACCAACTTCACCACCACTAGCAGTGACACGCTCTCTTCTACAAAAATAAATAAATAATATAAAAATCATCAGATACTAAAATAGGACTCAAAAAAGAAAGCATAATATAAGATCTGATAACTTACTCTTCTTCACTGCATTCAAGTCTGTGATCTGCTGATAGATAATATAAGCCACCTTCTGCAGACTCAAGTATGCAACGTGAATCACCAACAGAAGCTACAGTTATAACTGATCCTTCAACAATCACAAATGTCACAGTTGTTCCTGATGATTGAACTGAATTCATAACAATCCATAAGTAAGGAATCAACCCAACTAGTTGCTTATAACTCTGTGCTACTACATACATTCAATATAAATCATGTGGCCTATTTTGTAAAATTTAAATCTCTGTGCAAGTTAACATATTGGTTTCAAGTCATCCTTCTTATGATGATTTGTGAAGAAAACTAAAAAAAAGGTGGTGCATACCTTGTTCTTGGAAATCTTTATCTGTTTTCACAAATCCTGCCACCAAAGCCCTAGGCAACACTGCAATCCATTCATCTCGGTTTAGGTCTGTAGGAATAGCTTTCAGGACATTGTTTAATAGGTTCTCCTTAGTATATATAGCTGCTGCAGACCCATTATGCCCATCAAATATCTGCAAAGTTCAAGTTTGGTAAGGCAACTATAACTGAAGAGAAATGTAAGGGCATAAACAGATGTTTAGAACAAAAACAATAAACTCAGCTACTTATCCATCTACTTTTTTCTGTCAGATTCAAATGAAAAATCCACCATCGTGTGCAAAGAAAGCATGCAGCTATTCATGCAATGCAAATTGGATAGAATAGCATAAACTAATGCGTTCTAACAATCATTATCAAGGGCACCATGTTGATACAGGAATATTAAACAGTAAAAGAGGGAAATAGTCAAGCTAACAAACCCCAAAAACAGAATAGGTGGCGACACCATCTCCTAAAACCCGTTGGCATTCGCTTTTGAGTAGCGTGAAGTCCTCCCCTTTCTTGGACTGATTAGCTTGACCAGTAGAAATCTCCGGTCTCTCAGTCTTCTCACTCGCCAATTCACGCTTCAACAGCACAGATAACGGGATCGTGTGATGATCACCTTTATCGGCCGACATTTTCTTAGAAAATCCAGATTCAAATCGTTCAACTCTGCCCTAGCTTTGAAACTTAAGCTTTTCTAGTTCTACCTTCGCATATTCCGCCATGATATAGTCGATAATCCTACAACGCCAAATATAACAGATTTACAACAATCAAACATCATGAAACGACTAGAGAGAGCCGGAGAAAAATACTAGAATAAACATGAGAATCAAAATCAGCATCACGTATGCTTAAAAAAATTCAAATAAATGATCATTTTCAGTGATTCGATCATGACGAATAACAGTTATAAATGTAATTAAAACATAAACGAAAAAACAATGCGGATGATCCACAAGTAAACTTCAGCAGGAATATCGATTCGACTACGAAAAGCAATTATATGTAAACATAAAAACTATAGCTAAAATATATTAAAATAATGAAAGAGGAGAGACACTTACAGAAATTACTTGATAATGGCGAAAAGCTAGTAGCAAGTTCGATTAATGGATTTGATTTTGCATTTACAGAAACAGAAAAGCAAAATCTAATAATCTTCGGAAGCCGATTCGATTCGTTTTGCTACAAAAATTCCGCGAGAGAAAGGGGTAAAGATGAAGTGTGGTGGTCTCTTTATATTTGGATTTTCACTTTATTTTTTATTTTTTTTTGTTCTTCATCATGTGCGATCGTGTGCTGACATGTCCATACACACAAAACGCGCACCGATTCCTGGTTTAAAAAGCCGACTTCAGTATGAGCTGTAACTGTTCCTTTTAATATATTTAAAAACAAATAAATCGGCATGATTTATAAAATATATATTATTATTAAATGATTATCCCACGTAGGATGTCGTGAGCAAAAACTAAAAAATCGGTCATAAATATTGAATGTGTAAAATAACTATTGGATTAAGGTGTTTAAGCTCATAACTAAATTTGTATGACTTTTAATTAGAAGCAAAATTCTTTTTGAGTTGCCCTCATAACTGGTAACTGAATATAATGACACTTGGAGAGAGAGGTTGATTTATTGATTTATTATATGATTAATAAATTTTAATAAATGATTTGTTAATATATTATGTAACACCCAAAAATTTAAGCCAATTTAAAACTTTCCAAGACATTAAAAACCAATAGTTATTACAGATTTGTTTTCAAAATAGTATATATCAGAGTTTTTCCCAGAAACGTAAACAAAACATGAGGAGTTGTATGATCACACCTTTGCCTTGTCGCGATCCCTTGATGTACCTGAAACAATAAACTGAAACTGTAAGCCCGAAAGCTTAGTGAGTTACCCCCAAAATACCAACATCATATAACCATAATCATATCGAATCAAAAAATACAGAACAACATGCATAACGAGCCTTCAGTCTGACTCGACCGCCTCACAGGGTCTGCAATCTATCTGGACCGCTCCCGAGCCTTCGGCATGACTGGACCGCCTCGCAGGGCCTACAGCCTATCCGGACCGCTCGCCGGGTATGTTGGCCTACAGCACAAAGCAGGACCGCCTCAACCCAACCCCCAACCAAACAAACATGTGCACATAGATATCATACGGTAGCTCATATCATATAACAGTCAAACCAATCTAATAGATCACTAATCATGGCAACATCCCAATAACGGGGATACAGACCTAACCGGTCACTAACATAGCATTATCCTATAACCAGGACACCGACCTAACCAGGTCACTAAGCATAAGCATATCACCATCCTAACAACCAGGATGTAATCAATAAACATATCATGCCATAATCCAGATACAAACATAAAGGGTCGGCCTTGGTGCCTTAGACCCTGTTGATATAGTGAGGATAACTCACCTCGCAACTGTCGACTCGAAAGATAAGCTCAACCTCTCGGATCACCGACACGAACTCCACCACCTATAGTTACCATCCAACCATGTTCATAAATTCCCAAAATGCCCCAGAAGTCCAATAGTAAACCCTTGGTCAAAATCAAAGTCAACTTGTCATAGTCAACAGTCCCATGTTGACCTGAACTCGTCGAGTACAACCAGCCACTCGCCGAGTCACTTGAGTGACTCGCCGAGTTCCTAATGTTGGTGGCCGAGACTCCTTGGCCAACTCGTCGAGTTACCCTTGCAACTCGCCAAGTTCACACGTGTCCAAAGGTTGGGAAAACCCTAGCTGACTCGCCGAGTCTACGACAATCTTCATCGGACTCGCCGAGTTGACCATGCAATTCGCCGAGTCCCTTCAGTCCTTTATCCATACAGATGCTTTTTAAGCCATGCTAAGGTTCCATATTGCATATCCAGCTTCCCAAGGCATGTTTATCACGTAAACTTGCAAACTTTACGTGCATGCAAAGCTCTAAAGTCTTAAAATGACACAACCAAGCTTATAAAGAAGTCTCACACTTGAGGGAAAGCTCATACTAGCCAAAGCTGATAACTTTATGGACCTAGAGACCAAGAAGAGCTCAGATCTGAAGTTGCAACTTCAGATCTTAGCTCAAACACAAGGAAGGCTTCCAAAGAAAAACACTCAAAAGGGATCTAGGAAGAAATGAGCCAAGGTAACAGCTTAATACCTTCAAAAGGGTGCCAACTGAAGTAGATCTCTGATTCCCACGAGTTCCTTGCTTCTAATCACTTGTTTCCCCAAGCTTTTCTCACCAAAAAATCCTTCCTCAAATCTTACAGACACCAAAAAGCATACACACATGAATTAGGGTTTTGAAATGTCAAAGGGGTTGTGAAGGGGAGGCTGGGGAGGCCATTGATCCTTTAAATAGGGTGCAAAACACTGAAAATTAGGGTTTCATCCTCTAGCCCCTACTCGTCGAGTCCCTACTTTGGACTCGGTGAGTAGGTCACTTAAACACGCGGTCCAACTCGCTGCTACTCGACGAGTCGGGCACCCAACTCGTTGAGTAGACCTTGAAATCAAGAAAAATCTTATATAAACAACATCAATACCTGAGAATTGGGGCATTACAATTCTCCCCCACTTGAACTAGACTTCATCCTCGAAGTCTGCTGCGGGGAACAACTCCGGATAATGCTCCCGCATTTCTGCCTCCGGCTCCCACGTCCACTCGGATCCCCTCTGATGCTCCCACTGTACCTTTACTAAAGGTATCTCCTTGTTCCGCAGAACTTTCATCTTCCTCTCCAGTATGGCCATAGGCCTCTCCACATAATTCAGGCGCTCATCGACCTGAATATCATCCAGCGACACCACTGCCTCCTGATCCATAATGCACTTTCGCAACAGCGAAACATGAAAGGTGTTGTGGATCTGACTGAGCTCATCTGGTAGCTCTAACATGTACGCTACCTTGCCAACCCTGGAAATGATCCTGAACGGCCCAATGTATCGGGGACCCAATTTCCCCCTCTTCCTAAAGCGGATCACACCCTTCCAGGGCGAGACCTTCAGAGGTACCATGTCCCCGACCTGGAACTCTAATTCAGATCGGCGTCTGTCGGCGTAACTCTTCTGCTGACTCTGAGCAGTCTGCAGGCGTTGCCTAATCTGCTGAATCTTCTCGGTAGTCTTCAATACTACCTCCGTCCGACCCATCACCCTGTGTCCGACCTCACCCTAACATACCGGGGTGCGACACCTCCGTCCATACAACAGCTCAAAAGGCGGGGCGCCAATGCTGGAATGATAGATGTTGTTGTAGGTGAACTCTGCAAGGGGTAGGTGGGAATCCCAACTCCCACCGAAGTCAATGAAACATGCCCTCAACATATCCTCGAGGGTATGAATGGTCCGCTCACTCTGACCGTCGGTCTGCGGATGAAATGATGTGCTAAAGTGTAACCGTGTGCCCAGTTCCTCATGGAACTTCCTCCAGAAACGGGAGGTAAATCTAACATCCTGGTCGGAGACAATGAAGACTGGAACCCCATGGCGAGCAACGATCTCGCGGACGTATATGTCGGCCAACTTCTCGGCCGAAGAACTCTCCCGTATCGCCAATAAATGGGCACTCTTGGTCAATCGATCTACGATGACCCATATAGCATCAAATCCCTTCTCCGTCCTTGGCAACTTAGTAATGAATTCCATTGTGATCTGTTCTAACTTCCACATGGGAATCTCTAGGGGCTGCAGCTTACCATGCGGCCTCTGATGCTCGGCCTTGACCATCCTACAGGTCAAGCACCTCTCAACGTACCAAGCGATTTATCGCTTCATGCATGGCCACCAGTAACTCAAACTCAGGTCTCGGTACATCTTCATGGCCCCTGGGTGAATAGAAAAGTGAGACTTATGACCCTCCTCCATAACTGTCTGTCTGACCCCACCAGACATCGGAACCCATACCCGACCGCATCGGGTTAGCAATCCACGGCTATCCAGCACAAACTGGGAGTTCTCGCCCTTGATCCTCTCCATCTTCCAGTTGTTGGGGTACAAAGTTATCCATGTTTGACTTTGTAATGTGTTGACTTTTGTAAAACCCACTTGCATGTGGTGTATTAGCCTTTTGACTCATGAGATAGAGAGTGAGAGAGAGACATGTAAACACCTTTATATAAGGTGGGTTTAGTCCACTTGTAGAGGTGTGCTTAAGAGGTGTAAAATTTGAGTGTGTGAGTGTGTGTTATTTATGTAGATGTAGATCTATGTCCCTTTTTGTAACATAATACATATTCAATACATCTCTTGAACACCCAAATCACCATGTTCATTGTGCAATCTTTAATTCCGCATGCCAAACCATGTTCTTTAGTCACTACAATTGGTATCAGAGCGGGTCTTTAAAGATGAACGTGATTTTTGAAGAACGATTCTCGGTTTGGCAACATTTGTCACAATTGGAGCATTTTTGGTGAGTCTCTCTCTATGATCTCTCTTAATCTCATTGAATTCGTGCGTTGCGTTATTGATTCTTGATCGTTTGATTCATTGGATCTAATTTGTTTCAATTCCCTTTGTGTGATCCAATAAATTTTTGCTTAGATCAAGCCCAAACAAAAACAAAATCAAGTCTGTTACTGTTCATTTGTCAAGCCCAATTTTATGATTTTTTCACTGTTCATCAGTTTGATCGGCCCAAAATTAAATTGTTTCTAATTCAATGTTAAGCCCGAGAGATGATAAATTCCTTCCGATTCATAATAAACGCTGATTGTGTTGACTTTATCATACGCTTTAAGGTTTTGTACCTTCGTGACTTTCTTTTAGATCGAGTTCATGTGTCTCATTTTCTCTCACTGTGAATCAAACATCTCTTCGATCGAATCTTAATCTTTGTTTAAAATCGATTTTGACTGGAATTTGTAGTTAATAGAAGCTGAATTCGATTTTGACTGGTTTTATTTTGAAATCGTTTGAATATCGAGTCAAATTGAAAGTCAAAATCAAATTCTAATCGTTGTTCTTATATGCGAATGTTAATGAGTCAAAACTGAAAGTCAAAGAACGATCGATTAACAAACAGTTATCGATTGTTGATGTTGTCGACTGATGAGTTTGGGTTTGGAAGTCAAACTCGAAATTGAAAGTTAAACTGGGTTTGGAATAAATGGTTTGGAAGTCGATGTGAGTTCGTTTTGGGTTGAACTGTGAAAAGCAAACGAAGTTGAGAATTTGATGTCGATAATCGAAGTTTTTGGTTATCAATCGAAGATTTTGGGAGTCGGCAGTCAATTTTTGGAAGTTATCGAGTCGATG